AGTGTGTGTGGTGTCGAGCTGAGCTGTGTGTGTCGTGTGATGTGTGTGTGTGAGTGTGGTGTGAGTGTGTGTTTGTGTCTTGTTGTGTGTGGTGTGTGTGTGAGCCTGCGTGTGAGTGGTGGTGTGTGTGTGTGTGCTGTGAGATGTCGTGCTGTGATGTGTGAGCGTGTAGTGTGGTACGTGTAGTGCCGAAGCATGCTCGAGCTGGTCGTGTGTGTGTGCGTTGGTAGTGTGTGTGTGTGTGTTGGTGAGGTGTAGTGTCGAGTGTGTGTGTGCTGTGTGTGTGTGTGTGTGTGTGATTGTGTCGTGTGTGACGTGTGTCTGTGTGTTGCGCATGTGTGCTCGTTGCGTGTGTTGTGTGGAGTGTGAAGTGTTGTGAGTGTTGTGAGTGTCTGTGTGTGTGTGTGGGTGTGCTCTTTTGCGCAGTCTGTCGGTCAATGTGTGTGCGTGTGATGTGTGTGTGTGCTGGTGTGTGTGTGTTGAGGTCGTGGCAGTGTGTGTGTGTGTGTGTGTAATGTGTGTGAGTGTGTGTGTGAGTGTGTGAGTGTGTGTGGTGTGTGTGTGAGTGTGTGGTGTGAGTGTGAGTGTGTGTGGGTGTGTGAGGTGTGTTGTGTGTGCGTGAGTGTGTGTCGTGTGGTGTGTGTGTGTGTGTGTGTGTGTGTGTGTGTGTGTGTGTGTGTGTGTGTGTGTGTGTGTGTGTGTGTGTGTGTGTGTGTGTGTGTGTGTGTGTGAGTGTGTGTGTGTGTGTGTGTGTGTGTGTGTGTGTGTGTGCGCAGTACAGTGGGGTTTAAAGGCACTGAAACATTTTCACATAAACATGGAAACAATCAAAAGTTAAACAATAAAGTTTGAGGATTGTGAGCTCATGCTGAGAGAGGATGGATCATCAGCTCGAGTTCATGCTGTCATTAAAGTGAAAGAGAGACAAACCACATACTAAGATATTCTGATATTAATGTACATTTCATTTTCACTCCGTGTTAACAATGAAAGGATGTTTGTCTGTTCTGCTGTTACTCCACCAGGTGGTGCTCAAAGCTCTGGATCCCATCTTTGAAATACAAAACCCATACACACCAAACATCCAAGGTGAGGTCAGAGAATCCTGCTGTCTGATTGGCTGTTGAAAAGTTCAAGTCAAAGAAGAACATATCAAACATATTAAACACATTAATGACGTTTTATCCCTCATCCTCAGATCTCATCACTGTGACCAACATTCGGGTGAACTTCTCTCGTCTCTTCACACTCGGTGACACTCTGCTGAGTCGGAGACGCAGAAACCCTCAGGACAAATATTACTACGCACTCTACAACATGGTGGTGAGAGGAAGCTGCTTCTGTAATGGACATGCCAGCCGCTGTACACCTGTGGATGGAGGACGGGGGGACGTCTTCACCCAGACTGGCATGGTACGCATTAGGACTGGTACTGATCAGGTCTGTCCTGGATCAGTTGGACTGGTATTGATCAGATGAGGGTTAGGGTTCAGTGTGTGTTCATTCCACACAAACTGTAAAAGACATTCACTATTTTATTTTATTGTCTAATTAAAAACAGTAATTAGTAATTACATAATTAATTATTGTAGGGTTCTAAAATCTAAGACCACATTCCATTCACTGGTCTCAGATTTTCGGACCCTGTATGTGGCCGTCAGGTTTTTCTCTGCACATCCAGATTCAACACAGAGACCCAGGAATGTGAAATCCATCACGTATGATCTGTGAGGACATTTCCTCCGAATATTTACTTGTTGCTCTTGTTTGCTCTTGTTGAGAAAATCCATCAGACTGATGACATCAAAGTACACCTGAGCTCTCAGGTAAATATGCCTTCTGCTCTTCAGGTTCATGGTCGTTGTGTTTGTCAGCACAACACGGCTGGAGAGAACTGTGAGAAATGTCAGGACTTTCACCATGACTCCCCCTGGAGGCCTGGAGGAGAAGACACAGCTGACATCTGCAGGAGTAAATTCAGTTCAATGAAACTTTTCCTCTTTTAGCTGATTGAAAATATCAACCAGTTGTTAGTGAAAAATACAATGAAGGGATTTATTCCTAGTTCAGTTTTATTTTATCAAATAAATAACTTTCAATTTATTATTTATATATTTTTGATTTTTAAAACGAGGACTGACTCACTCAAATATCTTAGTAAAATCTTTTCATGTTGTATCTTGTATTTCATTTATATTTTGTTCTTTGTATTTAATGTATTTAATCTTCAGTTCAGACAGACTGGAAACTGTATATTAATATAATGATATATAAAGTGTCTTTATTGATTTGAGCAGTAATAGATTCAGACATGATGAATTGTGTTCTCTCAGGATGTAACTGTCATGGACACTCGGACTCGTGTCACTTCGACGCCATTCGTTTCGAAGTGACGGGTGGCATGAGCGGCGGTGTGTGTGATGATTGCCGCCATGACAGGACAGGGCCTCAGTGTGAACAGTGTCGACCTTTCCTGTTCCAGGATCCACAGCGAGCAACGGACGACCCGCACGCCTGCATACGTATGCTTCAACTGCTTTCACTTTGTCACTCTGTATGTGTGTTCCTGATGTTTATGATATCTCTTCATCACTGAATCCAGGTTCATGACTCTGGGTTTGTACATGGAACAGAAGTTAGTTCTTCAGCCAAAGGCCTCCTGTACTGAATGTGGCTCAGCTTAGCTGCTGAGGAAGGATCCAGTTCAGAGACGTCGTGGTCTGAGCTGCTGCTGGATCCTTCTGGACTGACAGAATCCGGTCCAAACAGATAGATGGGTTATGGTTAGGGTTTTTCCATCATGCTGTGTTTCAGCTTGATGATGTCATGTGATGTGATGATGCAAGTTTCTTCCTGTGTTTCAGCTTGTGACTGTGACCCGGCCGGTTCTCATGGCGGAGGTCTTTGTGACGCTCTGAGCGGTCAATGTGTCTGTAAAGAAAATGTGGAGGGTCAACGCTGTGATCGTTGCAAACATGGCTTCTTTAATCTGAGACAGGATGACCCGGCCGGTTGCCAAGGTAACAAACAATTTTTTTTCATTTAAAAGAACTTTTCATCAACAAACAGCTAAGCAGAGAAGCCTCATGTTTGATGTTGCCGCTTTCATTCAGGTTTGTTTGTTGTGTGTGTGTGTGTGTGTGTGTGTGTCTGTGTGTGTCTGTGTATCAGTGTGCAGGTGTCATGTTTTGGGAAGTGTTGGGTACTGTGATCAGCTGACAGGAAGTTGTGAATGTGACCGTTTGGCGAGCGGGCCATTGTGTGATCGATGTCTGGTAGGTTTCATCTTAAAGGGGCAGTCTGTAAAATCAAATGTGTTTAGTGACCTCTGGTGGCCGTTGCAGAAAACTACAAGTAAAAGCTTCACAGGGAGAAAAAACAGAACCAGAGAAAAGTCATACAACTCATAGAGATAAACACGAAATGACACGAGCTCAGATACTTACAGCTTTAATCTGTAACTTTCCATATTGAAATAAAAACAAGACCAATGTCTATTTGTTCTATATGTTGTTGAGTTGTGTTCTTACATTATCACAAATGTTTCCATCAATTCTCAAACCAGAGATATCTTTGATTTTAATCATGGTAATGTTTCATTGGTCGCCTGTTGACGACATCATATCCTCTATGGTCATATGTCTCATTTTTAAGATACACTGTTTATACCCTGGTCATTTTCAACTAAATTTTAACCTGATGAAGGATTCATCAGAAGGTCAAAGTTAAAAATGTTTTTTCACATCTAGTTTTTGTTATTTTGTTAGTTTTAGTTAATGATTAGTTAACGACTAGTTAATGATTAGTTAACGATTATAGCCTTGGTCCCGTCTGTTCTCAAGCAGTCTGCGGCAGTTAAAAACCATTAAATGGGTGAAGGTCCTTTATAATCATGCAATGGCAGCAGTTCAGTTTATAAAATGATTTAACTGGTTTTAATGTCTCAGATCTTTTCTTTTCTTCCCGACTAATTTTAACTAAATATGTTACTGTGAATGTATCAGCTGTAAAACCAGAGCTTATATATGAAGTACATGAGACTATGGTGGTTGCTGTGATACTGACTCCTGCTCTAAATGACTAACATGTTGGTGTGTGTGTGGTGTGTGCGTTATGTTCAGGCAGGTTTCTGGGGTTTGGGAAACTCTGCATTCAGATGTTCACCCTGTGACTGTGACATTGGAGGAGCTCACGGCACCACGTATGTGTCCTCTGACTTTATTCTGTTTTCATACAACAGTGAATTCATGTGTGAAATAATGAAGAGGAAGAACTCATTGAACTTTTTCCAGCCCTGAATCACAGGTTAGTATCAGAACAGGCCGATGACCTGAGGGACAAACAGGAAACAGATGTTTCTCTACAGAGAGTGATTCACAGACAGAAGAAAGTTTCACACAACTGAACCCTGAGGCTTCATGAAGGTTTAATCTGTATGGACAAAGAACCAGTGACATGAAGGATGACACTGGTGTCAGTCAGTCACATCTTTAGTCACCATGGCAACAGAGACCAACATTAAATTTGTGATGTGAGATGACAAATAAAGACCAGACCATTCTTCGTTACATAAGTGCCATAAAAGAAGTGTACTGAGTCTGGGTTCAGTACAGTTTATTTTTCACACCTGTTTTTGTCATTCATGTGTCAAAGCTGTTTATTATCTTTGTTTTGTCTTATTTTATATTGTATCTTGTACATTTGTTCCACGACGGACGTATGACAAATAAAGGCATTCTATTCTATTCTACGCTTCAGCACTTCAGATGCATCAAACACATGAAACTGATTTCTGATCAGTTTGTTGAGTCCCTGTTGAGACGTCTTCCTGTCCCCTCAGGTGTTCTCCAGAGGACGGACAATGTAATTGTTTACCAAACATGATTGGTCGGCGCTGCTCTGACCCTGCACCCGGGTACTTCCTGCCTCAACTGGACTACTTCCTGTATGAGGCGGAGCTTGCCACCCCACTGCACGGAGGAAGCTCGCCTCCTCCTACTAATTCTCCGTCATCTTCTTCTCTGGTGAGTAACAGAGCTCATGTGACAATACGTCACTAACAGCATTACTGTGTATTTACATGCAGTATTACTGTCTATTTTACATGCAGTATTTGTGTGTATGTTACATGCAGTATTACTGCAGTATTTGTGTGCATTAACATGCAGTATACTGTATATTTTCAGTTGAATCCGGTAGTTTTACCACAGTGTGAGAAGTACTACAGAGAGCAGGGCTTTGACTTCAAATTCAGTAGTGGACGAGTTGTCCTGGTTCGGAGGACTCGTCGACTTGCCCGCCAAAGGAGACAGGGACAGGTGAGATGTCACTTGACCAGTAAGGGCGATTCAGTCTTAGATTTCAGCCAATCAGATTGTCCTCCATCTCGTCTTATGCACAGATGTTTTCTTTGGGTCCTGCAGCAGAGCAGCATCCCTCTGTACCCCGGTCACGCCCTGCAGATCATTACCCGGCAGAGAACACCTGATCAGCCAATCACCTGGACTGGCCTGGGATTAGTGAGAGTGTTGGAGGGGGCGGGGCTTCGATTTACTGTGAACAATCTGCCGTCATCAATGGATTACCAGCTGCTAATTCGCTATAAGATGGAGGTGAAGCTCAATTGATTAATTCAATTTTTTGCTGCTTTATTGTGAAATTTTACTTCCTTTATTTTAACATCAATTGATCTTCCTCTTCAGTCTCCATTTGATTGGCTGGCTTCAGTCAGCATCATCATGCTGTCCCCAGGTGAGGGTGGCTGCAGCAACAACCCAACAGGACGTGAAACTCTGATTCTTCCTGGAAACTCTGGGTGAGACAATATCTGTTTTTGTCTGTTGTTTGTTTACTGCTATCTTTTGTTTCTTTGGTTGTTTACTGCTGTCTTTTGTTTGTTTTTCCTTTGTTTACTGTTGTCTTTTACTTGTTTGTCTCCAGAGCAGGTATTCTGGATTCTGCAGTGTGTCTGAACGCAGGCGGTCGGTACTTTGTGGATGTCGTCTTTAACAAACAGCCTGGATCTGATGGATCTGATGGATCTGATGGATCTGATGGATCATACATCCTGATCGACTCGGTGAGGATGTCTTTATACACTCAACTGAAACTCATTCTGACTGATTGATTGTCCACTAAACTCCTCCCACTAACAGCAATGGTCCAATAACAGCTTAGCAGCAGTTAGTAGTGACAGCAGACCCTCTGTTGAGGATTGCTCTGACAGGATGTTTACAGTCTGTATTAAATTTTCTGTATTGAATTATTTTAGATGGGTCTGATTCCCCGAATCGAGTCTGTCCAGAACTTCTGCTCTCAGAGTGACCTTGAATCTTTCCGCCGCTTTCGCTGCATTGGATTGGCCGCTGAGCTTGACTCGCAGGCGTCAGTGCCGGAGCGCTGCGAGGGACTCATCAAAAGCCTGTCGGCACAAATCCACAATGGAGCTGTTGGTGAGTGGCTCAACACGTGATGAAGAATTCACAGCAGAGCACTTCATATGTGATTCAGCACATTGAGAAAGTTCATGAAGCGACTGGACACAAAACTTTTGTTTCACTTCAAGACTTCATTGTTTTTGGTGTTTTTCAGAGGTTATTGTTCTATCATGAACATTCTGTGTATTTCCTGTTTTCAGTTTGCAGGTGTAATGTCATTGGTTCTCTCGGACCATCCTGCAGTAAACTGGGTGGGTTCTGTGAATGTAAACCCAACGTGATTGGCCGTTGCTGTGATACCTGTGCACCACTGACGTTTGGTTTAGGATCTGATGGCTGCAAACGTAAGAAACCCTCGCATTCAAAGACTAAAAACACTTTAGATAGAAAAGGAAACTGTGTTAAAGAGAGATGACGTCTCCACTTCCTCCCACTGTTTAAAAATGAAGAAAAAAATATCTGAGATACAAGCGATGCCATGTTGTGCTGAAAACATGTATGTGATGTGTACTCTGATTTTGGCCCATGTCCCATCCACTAACATGTAGGGCGTGGATTTTATGACCTGTACTGCAGCCATGTCGCCCATTTTTATATACAGTCACTGATCTGTGATGAAAACCATGATAGATTTTCCTCTGCTGTGTTATTTGCAGCGTGTGAGTGTGACACTCGTGGTTCAGTGTCAGAGCTGTGTGATCAGGTCAGAGGTCAGTGTGCATGTCGCTCAGAGGTGACGGGGCGACGCTGTGATCGCTGTCAGACGGGATTCTGGGGTTTCCCATTCTGTCGACCCTGTGAATGTAACGGACTGTCAGAGGTGTGTGACGAAGAGACCGGAGAGTGTGTGAACTGCAAAGAGCACAGCACGGGACTGCACTGTGACAGGTTATGTACATATATACATGTGTATATGAATATATGTATATATATACATATATTCATATATATATATCATATAGCAGGTGAAATCTGCAGTAACTAACTTCCTTATGAGGTCTTTATAAACAGAACTCTTCATATTGTAGATGTTCTGGTTCTCATGACATTTTTATGATACTGATGCAGGTGTGTGGAGGGTTACTATGGTGACCCTGTCTCCAGACAGCCCTGTCAGCCCTGCTTGTGTCCAGATGTTCAGGGCAGTGGACGATTCTTCGCCACTTCTTGTCAACACAACCCACAGTCCCTCAGTCTGACCTGCAACTGCAGAGAGGGGCACACAGGTACAAGCTGACATCTGTTGAAGTGCTCTGCTCACCAAACATGGTTATTGTTCACATCTTAATCTTTCTAGTTTCTTTCATCTAACCCTTCAAAGAGGCAGGTGACAGGTGTCACACACAGGTGATCTATGAGTCTCTGTCAGACATGTCGACACAACAGCAGAGGAGGGCAATAATATTGTTTTCTTATGTGCATGAACCACATGAACACAGTGATCATTAAAAATCTCTCTCAGGTCCACGTTGCGATAGATGCAACCCTGGTTTCTATGGTGACCTGACGGTACTGGGTGCTAGCTGTGAGGAGTGTCCCTGCAACAACAACATCAACCCAGACGACCGCGACTCCTGCGACAGCCTGACAGGCGACTGTCTGTGCTGCCTCCACAACACGATGGGACCACGCTGCCAAAACTGCAAACCTGGTTACTACGGCAACGCCTTGGTGCAGGACTGCAAAGGTACAGACATGAGTATTCATGCAGCACATTTTACACAAGATGATGCAATACAGTGTCCATCAACTAAACCTCAACATTCAACCGAATATTGCCATATATATATATTTCATCTACATTAAGTAATACATTGTGTATTTCCCAGAATGCTCCTGCAACCGGCGGGGGACGGAGGTGACTCGGTGTCCTCTGGGGAGTCCCTGTTTCTGTGATTCAACTACAGGACAGTGTCCCTGCAGGAGGGGCGTAGAGGGGATCCTCTGTGACGAATGTGAAGACGGATACTGGAACCTAGACGGACCGTCAGGGTGTCAGCCCTGCAGCTGTGACCCCGTCAACTCCCTGTCCAACATATGCAACAAGGCAAGACCTCCACTCACAACATTAACAGACCACCAGGCTAACTGACCACCAGGCTAACTGACCACCAGGCTAACAGACCACCAGGCTAACAGATTACCAGGCTAACTGACCGCCAGGCTAACTGACCACCAGGCTAACTGACCACCAGGCTAATATTCTCTGTTAACGTTGAATGTGTTATGAGATCTAAGTTGAGTTAAAGGTAAAATAAAGAAAGATTTTAACAGTAATAAATAATTACTGTGTTGTGTTCAGGTGACGGGACAGTGTCCGTGTCGTCCTGAGTTTGGAGGGAGACAATGTGATGAATGTGGAGAAAACCACTTTGGAAATCCAGATCTGCAGTGTATCTGTGAGGATCAACACACACACACACATTTTGTTTTCAAGGCAGAGGCCCGGTTAAAACCTGTTCAGACCAGGTCTGACTTGGACCTGATAAAGTCACAAGTGGACAGGTCTAAGTCGGTCAGCTAACACCTAGTATTAACCTAGGTATTAACCAGAGGATGTCAGCAGAGTGAGTTGCCCTTCAATGTGGCCCAGGACACATTCACATTCACACTGCTAAAAGAAGGTGGACACAGGTACAGACCACCTCTGATCCTTAATGCATCTCACACCTGAACCTAGAGCTTACCACTGGTGATCAGATCACCTTAGACAGATGTTAATACCAGGTCTGAACAGGACTGAGCAGGACCAAAGATCCTGGTTGTTTTTATTTTAATTCATCACATCTTGTTCTCAGCTTGTGACTGTAACCTGGAGGGAACCGAGCGTCCATCATGTGACCCTGAAACCGGTGAGTGTATCTGTAGATCTGGTGTCACTGGGATCTTCTGTGATGAGTGTGCTGCCGGCTACAGCTCAGTGTTCCCGGCCTGCGAGGAGTGCCACCCCTGCACTGCCCTCTGGGCCGAAAATGTCACCGATGTCCAGCGAGCCGCCCAGAGGATGAAAACCTTCATCCCTCACCACAGTGATGACCTGCGGCCTGGAGACAGTCACCGCTGGCAACAGATGCTGGAGATGCACTCCAAGCTGGACAACCTCACCAACCTGACAGGACTCTCCCTGCCAAAGGTGGAGAAGGTGGAGAAATTGTGGGGGAAGATTGGGTAAGTTCTTCTTTCTTGATCTGACATGTTAAGATCTCAAAGAAATGAACACTACATGTCACATTCACCCACACACACGTATGATACAAGACACCCACACACACACACACACAATCATACACTGATGGAAGCACAACCTTCTCTACTCTACCTCCTGAGCCACAGCCGCCCCTCTCCTGTGTTTTATTTGAAGTGTTGATCCAATAGAAGATGTATTTGTGGTTTTAAGAACCAAAAACCATGTCAGTGTAGTTTTACTTCTCTTCTCATTGGCTGACTGTTTCCTGAGTGACACATGGCCGGGCCAACCACAGGTAACAGATTGTAGCTAACCACTGTAGCTTGGTAGAACTCACTGGTAAATGCAAATGGTGATGGTCAGTCAGCGCTGAAATGAGCTGAACAGACATGAAAATCTGATTAAAATGTAGAACTCATAAACAGTATTTCAGAAAAAATCTACTTTATCCACTGGTTTTTAGTATGTCTCTCCCTGGGGAGGCTGTGCAGTGATATCTGGCTTCCTGAGATGCAATCTGTCTTGTAGCTCAGCAACAGAATGACTTTTTGGTCAACAGGTTGGATGGTGAATCCAGGTGGGCGGGGCTTGATGACTGTTTTGTTGTGTCAAAGTTCAAAGAAGTCCTGGCGGCTGGTTTTATGGCTCAGTTTCTGGATATAGGCTATGTGCATCCCTCTGATACTTTCACTGTATTAATATACAACCTAGACCTGGTTTATAACCAAACAACACATGGACATCTACCTTTAGACTGTATGGAGCTTTAAAATCAAAGATCCAGTCCTGTTGTTGTTTCACTCTGTAATCAGAAATGAAACATTTTAAATGTTCACAGGAAGTTGAAAGACGCCCTTGACCCGATCATGATCCTGATCAACCCATCTCCTCTCCTCAACACTGAAATTGACAACATTCATCTGGATTTCAAGAAGCTGCTGAACAGCTTGAAGGAGAAAGTCATCAAGGATCCAGATGATGAAGATGATGAAGGCAACCTGGAAGGTACAGAGTATATCCTGATGTATGCTGCAGTCAGACTGGAATTCACCCCTCGTCCAGTTCTATGGAACAAGATTAGACACAACCACCCGACTTTAAGGTGATCTGGATCTGGATCAGACTGAAGTCAACATGGTCTGGTCTGAATCACATCTGTACAGGTGGTCACAGTCCTCCAACATGTTAAAAGGTCACCTGACTCCTCGGCTTCCTGTTAGCTTGCACTGTCCAGCGTGAGGCTTCACACCAGCCACAGTGTGTTCAGACTAGATCCAGATCACAGCAAAACCAAGTGCAGCCATCCTGTCATTAACTCACCTGCCTTCTCCACAGTTCTTACTGAACTTAGACCTGTGACATGTTGAAGCTCCTCAGCCAATCAGAGTGGGGGGGGTAGGAATGGCCTCTTTATAACTGCAAGTGACTTCACAACCTTACTGCTGTTAGCCTGTTAACCTTTTATTTCCTCAGAGTGAAATGACAAATACTTTGTGACAAATTAACTTTAATCCATTTAAATAAAATGTAAAGTGAAGAAGTCTGAAAACTGCTGAACTCAGATCTGATTCTCCTGAGCTGATCACACAGAAACTTTTCAGTGAGAAGAGTTTCTACTATTGACAGCCTTTCTCTTTGTGACCAGAGCAGAACCAGACCTCAGCAGAGCCTGGATCAAAGACTGTGTTGCTGCTTCTTCACTTTGTTTCTGGTCTGTCACAGAGCTGCAGGACGAGATTCAGAAGCTTCATACAGAGTTCATGTTGGATGAGAAGAGGGTAAAAAATGCCAATAAAGGTTTGGAGGACTCCATGGACACCAGACAGGAAGTCAAACACAAACTGAGCACGTGCAGCAAAGGAGGAGGAAGAGACCTGGCACCGCTGGAGATGAAGATCAAAGAGCTCAGTGTGGTACAGTTCAACCGAAAGGTGAGTTTGTCACCTGGATATGGCACAGCCACCTTGATGCTACTTCCTTCCAGTGGCCACTCATAGTATTGCAACAAAAAAAAATCACCTGAGACCCAAAGAGCCTTTTCCCCATAGACCTCCATTATAAAAGAGACATCATCCCAGTGTAAGGTCTTAACATGTGCAATGAGGCACCAGCTCTGAGTCTGGTCTCTTCTTATAATATGTCCATGTTTTTGTCACATTATATCACAGATACTGATTGAACTGTTTCAGCCCTGTCGTTGAAATAGATCAGTAATACTTTTGACTATTGATTAATGTTGACTCCAGGCTGATCAGCTGATCTATAAACAGCAGGCTCATATGATTTACAAGTTGATAATGTAATAACAGATATAACATTTTAATAGACAGGTAGAACATGAGTCTTACCTGCAGAGTCCCGTGATACTCTGCGTGTAAAGCGGTAGCTGTATTTAAGTGAGTGTGAGCCGGGATCTAAACCCTCCATGAAGTCATTGATAATGACAGTCAGGGCTGATGCTGTGGTCTGATGCAGGTCTGTGGAGGACCAGGTCTGGAGGACTGTTCAGGATGTGGTGGAGCTCTGTGTGGTCTGGATCTGGGAGACAGGAAGTGTGGAGGTCCAAACTGTGATGGAGTCGTTCCTGTGAGTCAGAAAGCTTCAGAAACAGCTGAGAGAGCCAAGGACCAACTCATCACACTCCAATCCAGACTAGAGGAGTCCAAGAACAAGGCAGGTTTACATCGCGATTACTGGAAGGAATGGTGTTAGTACTGCCCCAGTCCACTTCATGTGTTTTCAACAAGGCAGCCCAGATAAACCACAAGACCAGAATGAATCAGAATGATCTTTATTGTAGACATTCACCCAGTGTCCAGTTTATTAGGTACAGCTCGCTCAGTCTGAGTCTAATCAAACAGTCCAGTAATCAATCCTCCTCTGCAGTTTTATCTGGTGGCTGGCAGATCTCAGTGCTGAAACTTTAACTGTGAAGTTCATGATATCATCAGCTGAGGTTACACTTGTTTAACCCTTGCCAACTGACTGTCTGTGGACAGATGAACAGGACTGATGGTGGTCAAACACTCACACACTTTTCTGCTTCACTGTAAAATAAATGTTGTTATATCTGTTTATTCTGGGTCAGATCAATTATGCCAAACAGACAGCTCAGGACACCAAAGACCAGGCCAAAGACCTGCAGGACCGGAAAAACGCCAACATGGACTCCTTCGAGAGAGAGAAGACCAAAACAAGGGAGCTCATCCAGCAAGTCAAAGACTACCTGATAGGTGAGTGTTCAGGTGATACTGTTGGAGGCTGGGCCTCACCTGCACCACTCCACTTCAGTTATTTGGTCAAAAGAACAAACATTTATTTACTATTATGTTGTCAGGTCTTGGCCTGACTCTGTAAAGAGCCTCGACATAATGTATGGTAATTGAAATGAATTGTTGTATTACACTGTCAGTCCCTTTTATATACAGCACTGACTCCAGCCACCCAGGAGAGTGTTCATCATCAGAAACATGCACTGCCCACAAGGACTCAGGCTAACACACATGCTATATGATAGAACAGAGTTCATTTACAGCTTTATAATGATTTTATCCTTTAACAATGACCCTTGTCCAGATGAGATGGTTCCTCCAGAAGACATTGAGAAAATGGCCCGAGCTGTGCTGGACATCCAGCTGCCACGATCTCCTGTGCAGATCCGATCAATGATCAATGACATCAAGAATCTGTTGTCAAATGCTACACACTTCCAGGATGACCTTAAGAGCCTGGAAGAGCGCACCATGGCCACCCAGGACCTGCTGCAGGAAGCTCAGAAACTCAAGTCAGTTTCTAAAAACGCAAAACTTCAATTTAAACATTAACTTTATTTAAAACTCAACAACATGAAATCTGTTAACTTTACCTCCTGACTTATTGATGAGTGACTGACTGAACACGCTCGTCTGATATCTGGTCACAGTCCTGCTCTCTTCATGAACAAGTCTTTGTGGTTTTTGTTGCTTGTGTTTAGGGAGCGGACAAAGGACATCGATGTGACAGAGATCAGAAGAGACATTTATGAAGCAGAGAGAGCTCAGGACAAAGCCAACAATGACCTGGAAACAGCCAGCCGAGACGGAGACATGAGCAAAGAGCAAATCCAAGACGTAAACATCAAGAAGATTTTAGATATGTCACTTCTGTTCAGTGATAATATAATGCATTTAGACGTGTTTTCTTCTGTCATATTTCAGATTAAAGACAAACTGGAAAATATTGAAACAAAGCTGATGAATCGTCAACCTGAAGATCTGAAGAACGAGATGGAAGCTCTGAAAAAGAAAAATGAACAGAGCAGAGAGATGGCAGGAGAGGCACAAGAGGCTGCAGAGTCCGCTTTTACCACCACAGACACACAGACAGTAAGACTACTGACACAGAAACAGTGACTACTGACACACAGACAGTAAGACTACTGACACAGAAACAGAAACAGTGACTACAGACACAGAAACAGTAAGACTACTGACACAGAAACAGAAACAGTGACTACAGACACAGAAACAGTAAGACTACTGACACAGAAACAGAAACAGTGACTACAGACACAGAAACAGTAAGACTACTGACACAGAAACAGAAACAGTGACTACTGACACAGAAACAGTGACTACAGACACAGAAACAGAAACAGTAAGACTACTGACACAAACAGTGACTACTGACACAGAAACAGTGGGAATCATAGAAGAAGTAGTACAGATCATAGTCCTCAAAGGTTTTCATGTTTGTAGTCCTAAACCCAGACTTGTTTTGACTGTGTCTCGCTGACAGGAGCTGGATGATGTGATGAAGCTGTTTGAGGTTTTAAAGCAGAAAAACTCCAGTCGGGCGGTTCAGGGTGAAGCTGGAGAACTACTGAAAAACATCACGGAGGAGGCGGAGGATATGAAGAGACAGGTGGCAGACAAACTCAGACAGATACAAGGTAGTATTTTATTTCAATTTGTAGTATGGGGTCTGTTGATTCAATTTGAAATGTTCACCATCACTTATTGTTACAATGGACACGGTGATGCTGATGTCAAGTCCATTTTATTTTTATTTATAGCGCCAAATCATAAGAGGTAAGGGTTAGGGTTTGTCTATATAGAGTGTATGTGTGTGTTCACAGTGTGGATCTTTGTGTACAATGTGTATACATACACATGCAGCTTTGTCACAACCAGCATAAGGTACGTCTAACATAAGGAAAATACCCCAAGGGTCAGCGAGAGCAGGGGTGGAAGATGACTCACAGGCAGACTATACAACAATGGACACTGGAACGGACATGACTATGAGTTGGATATGCGACTCAGTGAAGGATAGGGGCACGGACCTATTCTCTAGGATTAGAACTGGGCAGAATAGTTCTCAGGGTGACGTGAGCGTAGCTGGAGAGAATAAAAATGTTAGGCTAGAGGGAAATAAGCTCCAGATTTGTCCTTGTGGATGGCAGAAAGTAACGTCAGTTAGAGGCCTTAGAATGCATCAGGGAAGAAAGAGATGTGTTGCAAAGGAAAGGCAGTGTGGCCGCATCGATCGATACTTTCTAAGAAGTCAATCGAATAAGTCGGATGAAGTCCAGCGACAGGTAGAAAACCACAGTTC